TTTAATAGAAATCAATAAAGCAAAGAAGTATTTTTCTCGTGGCACTACAAAATCCTAAAGAATATGTTAAACAAAAAGAGTATTCTTTTTTAAATAGGGAAGGGGTGTGATTAGTCTTTACTTATTAAAGAGGAATAGATTAAAATTCTATTAACACTTAATTAACTAATTTTATTTTAAAGTAATTTACAATTTTAATATACCATTTGAATTTATTATTAAATGTTTTAATTAACATTAATTCTATAAATACACTTTTAGTTTTATATAACATTATTATTAAACGCAATAATAGAGAATTATTTGTTTCTTTTTCAATAATCTAATATAAATAATTTAGTTGTTAAAATATTTCATGAGTAGGTTAGTTTGGCATGAACCTAAGGTATTAGGATATTTATTCTTTGTAATTTATTCGTTGTCATAATAAAAGATGGTGTTTTGAAGAGTCATAAATTTTATTTGAAGTTAACATGAAGTGAAAGAAAAATTAATAAAAATCTTGACAATAAAAAGAAGATATTAAAAGAACTTAAAATATTTGAATGAGCTTTATTTATCGTTTCTTCACTCGTCAAAATCATAAAAAAACAACAAAAAAATTACCGAATGGGGTATGTGGATTATATAACTTAGGGAATACATGTTATATGAATTGTATTTTACAAAGTATTGCTCATTCTAAGTTATTTCAAAATTTCTGTTTAACTCAAGACAATCTCATACGTAAAGACATTGCACCTGGTAATGAAACACAGTATCACAATAAAATTTCTATTGCACTTATTGCTCTTATCCAAGCTATGTTTTGTGGTGATTATGCTATTTGTACACCTAGAGGAATTAAAGAAATTATGGGAGAAAAAAATATAATGTTTAAAGGAAATAACCAAAATGATGCATCAGAATTCTTTTTATTTTTGTTGGACGAGCTTGATAAAGAAATGAGAGGGACTCAATCTGGAATTCCTATCTCACTACCTAAAGACGATTTGCCTATTCTTCCCATTAAAATCAATGACCATCAAGTTGGAGTGCCTGAGATTGCTAAAACAAAAATATCACCAAAACCTTTAGTATTAGAAATTGCCCCAAGTGAAAAGACAGAAATTCATGAAGGATCTCCCTTAATAAAGAGAGGTGAGTTTGTAACAATAAAATTAGAGGAAGATAATCCTCTTGTTCATTCTGTAACAATACAAGAAACACCTGACTCTGAAGAGAATAATGAAAGAAACGAAATAAATGAACAAAAACATGAAATGTCGCAAGAAATGGTATTAACACTATCAAAAAATTCAGAAAACTTTTTGAAGATTAAAGACAATATTATAAATGATGGTTATTTGCAAAAAGAAAACCGAATTAAAATATCAATGGGTTGTAGTGCCTTTGAAAAATATGTACAAAATAACCAAAGTATTATTAGTGAATTATTCTTTGGCATGTTATTAAAAAGAACTCTATGTGATTGTGGTAATTATTCTGATAATCATAACCCTTTTGCAACATTACCAATTGATATTCCTTTACCTAAGGAGGTAGATGGATATTTTCCTGTAGTTTTTATTGGTAAAGAAGGACTTCCTAAGCTCTTTTATATTTGGACTGAAATTCGACCAAATATGAAAGAATTAAAAGAAAGGATTGAAGCAAAGGTTCAAAAAAAAATTAATGGGATTTGGTGTGAATGTGGAAAGATTATTCCTGTTGACTTTGAAAATGTTCCTCAAGCACTTGACCTTAGAGGAGCAAGAAAGTTACTTGCTTTTGAAAAAATAGAAAGACCTAAACTTATTTATATTCAGGTCAGTGTTAGAGGAGAATTGCGAAGACAACTTATTCCAATACTAGTTGAGAAAGACAAATTGAAAGAGCGTTTGAGTGTTTTTGGTGTTGAAAAACCTTTTAATGAAGAAAAAGTAAAGAAGGGGTGGTTGTTAACATTTAAAGGGGAAGAAGAGGATATTGAGAAATTTGGAACAATGGAAAGAGAAGAAGAGCCAAATCAAAATATATTAAATCCAAATGGTATATCATTAGAGTGGTGTTTAAATGACTTTTTTAAAGAAAATATTTTAGGTAAAGGAAATGAATGGAAATGTAGTCAGTGTGGAAAAAAAGTTAATGCCAGACAAAAATGTATTATTGAATATCCTCCAAATGTTCTTGTTATTCAACTAAAACGGTTTAGATACACAGAACATTTAAGTGTAGTAAAAGATAATTCTCTTGTTTATTTTCCGATTGAAATTGATCTTCATCAATTTGGAATGGTAGGGAAATACCGATTAAATTCTGTTGTGGTTTGTCTATTTTTTTTTATTTATAGTACTGTTAGATTTATTTTCAATGAACAAATTAACTTTAGAATAGAATCATAGAGGGACATTAAATGGTGGACATTATTATTCTTATTGTAGATGTGGTTCAGATTGGTTTGTTTTTAATGATGATACAGTAACAAGGCTTAATACCAACCATATTGTGACAAATAATGCTTTTATGTTATTTTACGAAAGAATTGACTAATTCAATATTTTTATTTCAAACAAAGTAAAACTATTTTTATTTGCTTATTTCTTCAAATAAAAAAAGAAAAATTCAAAGGAGGAGATAATAAAAACACTAATTAGTCAGGAAAGAAAGGAAAAGAAGTTATTTTTGATATAATACGAATGAAAGTTTTCAAACTATAGTTTTTGAATAAAACAAGAATAAGTCATAGAAACTAAGAAATAATTAAAGGTTTAAACGAGGTTAAATGCGATCGAAAGGGAAAATACTTTATTGCTATAAAGATAAAAGAAATGAGATAGTTTTTAATGAGTCTCTTTGTATTGCAATACTTTGTACATATGCAGAAATTACAATAAGGAAACCTGCAGGAAAGGCTTCTGTATCAAAGCCTTTCTTTCCAATTGAAACAATACAATTCAATGATTCCGACAAAGTTGATTTTGGAAATATAATTGATAAAAGGATTCATGAAATATATAAAATGGATATCGCAAATGGAGTATTGGAGGAAACTGCACTTTCTCGAATGAAGAAAAATAGAACAACTGAATCAATTCATTTACTTTTTGATATTGTTGAGGAACTTGGGGTAAAATTTCACAAAAAATTTTCTAACGGTAAAAACAACTCACTGGTTATTGACTATATAGAGTCTATTTATTATAAATATTTTTGTTTTAAAAGAAAGGATATTGATTATGTAGGCTCAGTCATTAATTCTGAAATACTGTCTCGTGTTGACAGTAAACAATTCGTTACATTACAAAAGAATGATAAGATGCTTAATTCTATTCTTCTAGATTATATTCAACAAAGACATAAGAATTTGTAATTCATTTTATGTATTTTTATTAGAGAATTTATTTATCTTAAAATAGAGCATGTAAAATTTCGGCATGTTTATTAGTATAAAAAACATGAAAAATATTTTTAGATACCTTGTTAGTATATCGTTTTTAACAAATTATTCATTATGATATATTTCATTTTTTTTCAAATAGACTTTTCTAATTTTATTATAATAATTTATGTGTTAGTGTTTTGAGAAAAAAACAAATGAACAGGTATTTGTTATTTTATTGTTTTTAGAATGTCTTAGTTAAAAATATTTTGGAAAGAGACCCTAAGAAATAATTATGTAATGATTATGTTTCATTCTTTCAACCAATACTTGAGTTTAATAGAAAAAAATGTGATTAAGTCAAAAGCGAAGGTTAAAGGAGTTTGTCTAAATTAATAGTGTTATTTTGTGTTAAAGAGAAAGACAAACTTATAGTAGTCAAATATTTAATCATTTCAAATAATATAATTTTATTTATTCTACATCAGAAAATAAAATAGTTATGAGTTGTAAAAAGAAGCGGTTCATCATCAAATTTTTATTGCATAATTTTTGAAATAATATTAATAATAAAATTTAAATATTAATACAGTTTAATGTGTTTTTCAATGTAATTCGTTGAATATATTATATGTAAATTTTATTTTATGGATAAATAAAATCCTTTTAGATATCTAAGTAATTCAATAGTTCTTCTGTTGTTGTGTCATTTTTTGAAAAGAACATAAACAATAATTACTTTTTATTATTGACTCTATAATAGGTTGTTAGTAAATAAAGTAATAAGACTGTTGTAGTTTATATTTCAATTAAGTTTTTTAATTGAACAAATAAACAACCTTTGAAAAATAATTTTATATTGTCTAAATCTCTACCCTGGGGTTGACCTTTTTATTTCTCTGAATTACTTTTTTTTTTAAAGTAAATGTTGTATGTGGTATATGTCTTCCTCAAATAAGTTCACTGTTTAAATAATGACATCGTTACGTGTTTGATTTAGAGTTTTTATTAGTTAAGATTAGTATGACTAAGTCTTAGTCATTAAGAAAGTCATAAGGTTTTTGTTATCTTCAGATTTGTTAAGTATTTATGAAAGGTAATTTTCTTATTATTAAACACTATTTATTGGTACCTAACCTAAATTTTAAATACAATTTGTTATATAATGTTATTCTAATAAATTGCTGACTTTCTGAAGCACTGAAGGAAAATGTTTATATTTTTTATTAATTATTATTGATAAAATAAAAGTCATTGTTGGATAAATTATTCTTGTGGTTGTAATACAAATAATTTTAATTTTAGGTATTACTCTCTTCATTTTTTTTCAAATAAAGAATATCAAAAACCTCTCAATTATTTTTGTCTAATAGTTCATAATATAATATGTTCTTTAGAATTCCTCTGGCAAAAATGTGTATAATGGTGAAAGGAGAATAGGCTTTTCATCTACTTCACAATAATGTTGAATAAGTAGTTCAAAAGAATTCAAATAATGACTTGAATATAACATCCTTTTAATTCCTCGAATGCTATTTCGTGGAATAATTAATCCAGATATTCCTTGAAATTGAACTGATGGCCATTTAGCATATACTTTCTTGATTTCATTTGTACTTTTTTTATTTATGCCAAGTAAACAAATATCATCAATGGATTGATTGATTTGGTCAAAATAATAGTGAAGAGTCATTTCAACTTGTGTTTTATTTAATGCAGGGTCAAGTAGTGATGTAACAAAGACAAAGTCAACTTCATCTGGAATATATTTTAATCTTTCATTAAAAGCCCAATTCAATGAAATTTTTTCTTTGTAATCATCAAATTCTATTTCTTCTTGTAAATAACCAAAGTCATGTAAAGAAACAAGATATCCATTCTTTGCCCACCATTCATTTGGTTTAAAGTTATCTTGAATAGTTATAAATTTTAAATGTTCATTTGATTCAAATTTTTCTGGTTTCATTGAAGATATTGAAAGTAAAGCAATAGTATAAAATGATGACGACATCCAATGGTTTATATTTGAAAGATATTGGTTAACACCAATCTCTCGTTTACCATTTGGAGTGACTTTCATTCGGATGTCAGGTGGAGGTTGAGTAGTACCAAAGAATAATGTTGCAACAAACAACAGACCAACAAAACCAAAGAATGAAAGAAATATTAATTTTTCATACCTATAACTGACCAGCATTTTTGCGGAGAAAGAACTATATTTCTTCCTATTTACTTTTTCACTTTAAATAATGTGTTGAGATTGTTTTTCACAATGAAAAGATAAAGGCTTATGACTAATTCTCTATTTTTGATTTCATTTTTATTTCTCAACTCCAAAACGAAAGGGCAACTTTACTTAATTAGGTTTATATGAATTAAAATTTAGCAAGAATTTGTTCTAAAGTATCTTGTTTAACATTAGATGTATCACTCATTAAATCTTGTGCGAGTTTAGTCTTTTCTTGTTCAGTTAATTTAGAAAGGTCTTTCAAACACAAAGAGTTACCAAGAACTTTTGTTTCAAGTTTAATGTTCCAGTTTGGTTGTTGTCTTAAATATTTCATAAATAAACTTTTACAAACTTTTCCTTTTCCATTTTTCATCATTTTATTTGATTTACATTGTCTGTAACCAGTTCTTTTCATAAAGGCTGTATTATGAGCTTCTGCCTGAAGGATAACCTGAAGGTTTTTAAAGTGTTCATTGACATTAGTAAGATTACCTTTAATTATTAATTTATCAAATTGAACTGAAGCAGTGGTAGTATTTTTTTCTTGTTTAACCATTTGTGGACATTTTTTTTCTTTTCCAAACAACACATCTGCAAGTGACTTTTTGATTTCCTGGTTTGTTTTATCATTGAGTTGTGCATTTACTGAAAGTGCTAAAATCAACACCAAAAACAACATTATAAAGGCTAAAAAAATATAAGACGATTTCAAGTTTTTCTTTTTTTTAAGTTTATTTTTATGTTTTTCTAAATTTATTTGTTAATTTTTTAAATTAATGGATTTTCACAATATTTACTCAAACGAGATAAAACAACTTCAATGGTTCTTTGTTTATTTGAACAAAGATTTTGAGTATTACATCCTATGTAAAGGAAAATCTTTAAATTACTTGTTATCTTTTTAAAGACAATAATAAAAGTATATTATTTAATAAATAGATATAAATATCTAATAACTACACAAATGTAATATAATGTATTTTCTTTTAATGTCATAAATATAATTCAATAAACGATAATAATGTATTAATGAATAAAAAGAACAAATAATAAGAAAGCTGCAAAATAATGACTAGACAAAGAATATATATGATCAAGAGAATGAAATATTGTAATTGGAAAACTATAAAAAAAAAATCAAACTGGTTGTTTTTCTGTAACAATAAAATAATTAAACTGAAAACAATAAGGTAATTTGTTTATAAAAATATTACATAAACTAAAAATAATATAATGGAATGAATTGTTTTATATAATGATGATATAAATAAATTACAATAAAATTCATAAAAACAATTTTATAACATTTGTATGTTTATAATATGAATGAAAGAAATTTTATTAGTTGTTATGGTTATTTATTAAACAAACTGTTCATTTTTTGAAAAAAAAAAAATAAAAAGAAATATTTAAAGAATAGTCTTTTAAAATTCTAATTTGTATTTTATCTTTTGTTTCTTAAATATTTGGTTTTTTACTTTGATTTCTAAAAATAAAAAGAGAATTTTTATTTTGTTTATTTTGACACAAATTGCATTTAAATAAGAGTTATTGTAAAATTAATTCAGTTTTTTTATTTTTTATTTTGAGAAGAGATAAAGAACTTCCAACACACAACACAACGAAGAAGAATAAGTTTATTAAAAAAAAATTTAAGTAATTCAAATATTTTAATAATCGTTATATAAAACATAATTATAAAAAAAGCGAAAAATATAGAAAGAAGAAGAAATAGTTTGAAGTTAATAAAAAACTAGTTTTAAAAAGGAGAAAAATAAGAAAAAGAAGTTTTGATAAAGTAATATTCTTAGATGAATTCAAGTGAACCACTCACTATCCAGATTGAACGTTCAGAATCAGTAAATAATCAATTACCAGATTTATTTCAAAGTTCAAATATATCAGAACAATCTGCTACAGTTTCATCACGACAATCCTTATCATATGAAGATGAAGTCACAAAATTAAAATTAGAAATCGAACGTTTGAAAAAAGAAAAAATAGAGATAGAAGAAAGCTCTAAAATACAATTTATGAAAGAATTTAGTTATTATGCAAGTAATTTTCCATTATGTGGAGAACAGTTTCAAAGTGGATTAGTTGATCCAAGTAATGGAAATTTATCATTTGTTGTTTTATATCCTAAAATATTTGAAATTGAACCAACTCTTTTTGTATTTAAAGCAACTAGTCATGGAAATGGTACAAAAATAACAAACAGTATAGTAGATGTTTGTAGAATTCATTTTTTATACTTTTTTATATTGAAGAAATTTATCAGTTCAAATTATTTAATTTCTTCAAGTCTAACAATTAAGTTTTTTCTAATATTATATCTAATTTATATAGTAAAATTCACTGATTTTATAGAGAACAAATGATGGGTTTACTATTAAATTAGATAGACCAGCAGGAAAAGGAACTTTATTTCTTTGGTTTGCATATACTCCATTAAAAAATTCAAGAAAAGAATTTACTGAAATGACTAAATTATTCCATGGAAGTGTTACACGATCACAAATAGAACAACCAATGATGGCATATGTTAGAAAATATGGACCAAATGATTCTGATGAAAATGGAAAAACATTATTACATTATTGTGTTCAAAATGGATTAGTTGAAATGGTTAATTGGTTATTAGCAAAAGGTGCATATGTCAATGCAGCAGATAAGTTTAGATATACACCATTACATATTGCATTATCAGGACAAACAATTAATGCAAATGTAATTAATGCATTATTAGATTCAGGTGCAGATAAAAAAGCAAGAAATGTTCAACACAGAACTCCATTACATTATTTATGTAGACAAACAAATATTGAACAATTTTTACCAATTTTAAATAGATTTTTACCAGATGGAGAAAATAATAAAGAGTTTGTTAATTTAAAATCAAGTAAAGGAGATACTGCTTTAATTGCATTATGTAATGCATCTATGAATATTGATGCTATGAAAATTCTTTGTAAAAATGAAGCAGATGTAAACGTTCAAACTATGACTGAAGACTTTCCTTTATATTATGCTATTAAAAAAAGAAATAAAGACGCTATAAGAATTTTATTACAACATCATGCTCTTTTAAATTTAACATTTTATGGAAAAGATGTTATGAAAATAGCTGAAGAATATCATTTTGAAATAGAGTTAAAAGACATATTAAATTCTTCATTTTTAATTGATAAAATGAGTGAACTACAAATCAAAACTCTTCAAGAAACATTTGAAACAATAAAATATCCACAAGAAAAATGGCTTAAAATTGTTAATCCTGATAAAATTGCTTTAATTGATATTTCAACATTTCCTGTTGGATATCATTTAGAAAATTATTCAAATTGTTGTAGTCATACTCATAAAGAATTAGAATATTATAACACTCATGATCCTACTCTTTGTATTAAATATTATGAAAAATACTTTGATTATAAAAAGCATATTAATTATATAGTCCCTATTCAAGGAGATGTTTTTGTCGTTTCAATGACTGAAAGTTTATTAAAATCTTCTTCTCTTAGTCCAAGATTTACAAGAGAATCTTTTGATTTATCTACACAAAAACGAAAAATAATTATTAGAAATAAAAAAGGTGATTTAAGAAAAGAATATCCTGGAAATATTACTGATATTCAAATATTAAGAGAATTGGGTTATAATGGAAAAACATTATCCCCAATTCATTCTCGTACATTATATACTTCATTAACTAAATTAGAAAATCAAACAGTTTCAGAAAAATTTAAATTTGGAGTGTTATATGGAACATTGGGTCAACTTACAGAAAATGAATTTTACAATAATAAAGAGGCAAGTCCTTATTTTGAACACTTCTTAAAATTATTAGGAGAACGAGTTGATATGAAAACTTATCCAGGATATTGTGGTGGATTAAATTGTAATGGATTTCCTTTTGGAACAGAGATAATTGTATCTACTTTTAGTAATGACCAAATAGAATGTGCTTTTCATGTTTCTACAATGTTACCTTTTAATGTTAAAACTGATCAACAAATTGAAAGAAAAAAAATTATTCAAAATGATATTTGTGTTATTATATTTAAAGAATATAATTCAATTCCTGAACCTATAGATATTACTTCTTTTAAGTCTCTTACAAATCATGCATTTTTAATTATTGGATATGATTTAAGTCAACCCTTTTCTTTAACACCAAAATATGATATTAATTTATGTGTTAAAAATGATGTTCCTCCTATTCCCCCTTTTATTACTCAAGAAAAATATCATTATGAATCTGCTTTACATGACTTTTTACTTGCTAAACTCATTAATGCAGATCGTCTTTCTCAATCTACTTCATTTTTTAGAGGAAAGTTTTTAACCAATCGCCAAAACCAATTGGAGTCTATTTGTTTAAATGCAAAAGTTCAATTCTAATCTATTACTTTATTGTTCTTCTTTTTATTATTTTTTGTTTTATATAACGAATTTTCTTGCATTTATTTTATTTTCTTTTTCTGTCGTTTAAAAAATTTTTTCTTTGTAAAATAATACTGAAAATAATTTATTTCTTATTTCAATATCTTTTAAGTTCAAGACTTAACTATTTTTACATAATTACTTCTTAATTTTAGAAAAAATTTCATAAATTTCAAATTTTTTAGATTTATTAGTAAAAATGTTTTTTTTTATATCATAACAATTTTTTTTAAGAAGAATCATTAATCTTTCATTCTTTCACCTTATGATTTTTGTTTTTTTTTGACTTAGTCTCTTCGTTGTTGTTACTATTTAATTAAAGTTGTATATTGTTTAAAATATACACAAACCATAAAGGGAAAAATAAAACTGATACTCTAAAAAAAATAAACATTAGAATTTTG